GCTCTGCTGTCCCTCGACAGCCACTAGTCACATGTGGCTACTGAGCACTGAAGTGTTGCTAGTGTGACTGAGGAATCAAATTTTAAATTTCATTAAATTTTTATTAAAATTTAAGCTTATAACCATATGTGGCTGGTGGCTATTACATTAGATAACACAGATGCAGATGTTTCTATCAACACAGATGGTTGTATTGGACAGCATTGGCCTAGAGCTTGGGAGAAATTACCAGAAGAATCAAAACTGGAAATGATTAAGCCTGATAAGTTTGACCCTGAGGCTCGAGGGAAATGGGAAGTGGGTTTCTATCATATTTGTTTGTCTAGAATGCATACCTTAACCTGTCATCCCAAGGATGACAACTGTCCATTCCCAAAGGATTTCTATAATTTTAGAGTAAAAATCTTAGATTTAGAGCAAAAAAACTTTTTAGAGGGAAGATATTTATTCTTATAAATTCTAATAGTTGTATTTAAACATAAGTTGTTAAGCCCTATTTTTTACCTAACATCTGTGGCTTTGGTAAGACACAAAATTATTCAAATTCATAAAAATGAATTGCTATTCATTGTCTCCCAGGCCATAGCTTTACTTGTTAAATACTTAATTCTTTGATTTCTGTGATCCTTAAAGAAAGCTGTACCTTTTCTTGACAGCAAAAGCTAAAACTTCTCAGGGAGAGGAGTACATTTGTTGGTAGTATCTGAACATCCCTAGTAAGGAGCTGGCCAAGCTGTTTCCCTCTGCAAGTGGGAGACAGACAGTGGGAGGGGCACATGCACTTTTGATTTACATTCTTCACATTTAGACTTTCTGGCAACAGTGAGCACATATTTCTTTTGTAATTAAGTAAAAGCAGTAACAGGTGGGCTAAATGTAATACAGCTAAGTGTTTGATACTTGTTTGAGGAAAACAAGACCAAAATCCCTGACAAGGCCTGCACAGCCTACACTATGGGCCCAAGGGCCCTCACCATCTCATTCCATACCCCTTCCTTTCCTGCTCTGCAGTCCACTGTCATTTTCCTTTCCCTAGGTCCTCAAGCCTGCCACACTTCCTCCCACCAAAGGCTTTTGCAACATGCTGGTTTCTCTGCCTGACTTGCCTGAATTGCTTCACCCTCCCTTGACCATTCTGGCCTTCAGGTCTCAGCCAAACTACTGATTTCAGGGAAACTTCTCTGAAGGTGGCAGCTTGGATTTTCCGAAGATGGTCTTAGCAATATCTCCTATCCCATATCCTCTTCAGCAAGGTGACCTTGCCACTACCCCACCAAGAGAAAGAGTTGATTTCTCCACCCTTTGAACCCAGGCAGACTCACTGACTTGCTTGAATAGAATGCAGAACATGTGACATTCTGGGACTTCAAGGATGGTCTCAAGGCCTCAAGGTGACTTGCAGCTTCGATATGGAACAGACACAGGTCTTCTGGAACACTCACTCTTGGAACCCAGTGCCCTGCTGTAAGAAGTCCAGCCACATGCAGAGACCACATGCAGATCCTCTGGACAGTCCAACCAAGCCCCCTGTCCGCAGCCACATGGATGAGCCATCTTGCATATCCAGCTCAGCCCAGGACCACAGCCACTGGTGACATCCATGGGCAACTGCAGGACAGACCCCAGGTGAGAGCCAGTGGAGTGAGCCTAGCCACCCCCATGGCCAGGCAGATACCAAATGACTATTTATGTTCAAAGCAGTAGATACTCAGTCCATCTTTCCAGGAGGGTTCAGGTCTCCTTATACTCTCACTGCCCTACCTTTGAACAGTAATACAAATCTGCTGCGAGCCAGTGATCCTAGTGCCTCAGAAACCCCATTAGCTTCAGCTTCAGTCCCCACGAGAATCCTAGGAGCAGGAGAAGCACTGCTCTAACGCTTCCGAAGTGCCAGAGGCAAGGTTAAGAACACTTCCCAACACTCAGCTAGGATGTGAGCCCAGGTGGCCTCTTCACAGCACATCCTGTATCTTTGTAATTATTTGGATTAAGGCCTCCTCCTTCTCAACCAAACTGTGAGCCCAAGGGGAGTTGGGACTGTGTATTTTTGTTCATGGTGAATCCCTGGTACCTAAAATGTGCTCAGTAAAATCAGAGGGAGTAAATCTCAGTGGCTTCCTGTCTCACATTCAGGATGAAAAAAATAACAAAATGCCAATTACCTCATTTTTGTTTACGACATAGTACCCGCCTTGTAGTGTAGAAGGGAAACATTGTACGGAATTCAGATGAGTGCTTGGGAACACAGGCTTTGGAACAGATGGATCTGGGTTTACATCCTGACTGGAGCACACTGGGACCTTGGCTAAAGTCATCATTTCTTTACTTATCAGATAAATACGTTGCCGTTGTTGAGAGGATGAAATGACAAAGGCAAGATGCCTTGAACATGGTCCTTGGCACAGTCTCAACAGGGTCCTGCTGTCAAACATAACAAGGAGAAAAAAATCTTCCAACTCATGGCAAATGTTAGCTCTGCTCTTATCAAGCATTAGCTCAGACCTGAGCGCCCACCGAACTTGGTAGAGAGACATATCCAGCTTGGCATCTCGCTGACTGGGTGGGTAAAGCCAGGCTATGCTGTGACTGCACTAAAATTTGCATTTGTAAGTTTTCATTCAAGATTCAACAAAGGCAAAGTATTCAGTATACCAAATGAGTCCACATAAAGACTGCCAGTTGGAGGACTTCTCATCCAGAGCTGGACAGTCCTAACCCCACGCAGACAGGATGTATCACACCCACCCCGAGATGGAGGGGTTTAGAGGTTGAGAGGCCTTTCCCACTATTCAGAAGCCATAGCTGCTCAAAGCAGAAAGCAGATTAAGGCCCGCATGGCCTAAGCAGAAGAGAGGAAGGATTTCAAGGTGCCCAGCGGCAGGAAGGCGTCCTTAGCATCAGAGGGGCTTCAGCATTCACTCCCAGCCAGCACACGGCTGCTGGACGCCTGGATTGGGCTCAGGTTATGCGTCGCCAGTCAGTCATTCCCTACTGAGCCAACCAAGTGTTCGGCCTGCCTTGGTGTACTTTGGTCCAACTCTGCAGTTTCCTCTGTCCTCGGCACCCCTTTCCCAGCTGTTTGTATGTACTTGTGATCAGACTTTCACCTAAGTGGCAGTGATGCACAGCGTGAGTGTACAGGAGGCTAGTGCCCGCATTAGTCACATCAATGGGGCATTAAATGTATTGACAGTAAGTGACTTAAACAGGAATCCTCTCTTCCCCTCTCCATTAAGAGATGAAGATGACGGAAGGGGAGCCGGCGGATCACTCCCCTGACACAGCTCAGGCGCAGGGGTCTCACGTCTGTCGGTCAGTGGGGGTTATTAAAAGGCCTCCACGGTTGAACCCCACCTGGGCCAGTGAGTCCTCTGCAAGAGAAAACTGCTTAAGGTCATAAATCATACCCTTGGTCCCAGCCCATCTGAAGATGTTTTTGTTTCTGTTTGAATAGGGCAAAGAGAACACAGTTCAATAGTTGTGAAGGTGACCTCGCAGATTTGGGTCATTAGCTGAACAATGGGGCGCTTGTGCTTGCAGAGGGAGGGTCTAGATGAACAGGAGAAACACTGTGACTTTGGGAACAGCCCCCCAATAAGCATGTCCACTTTCTTCCACCACTTGGCTACTTCCTTGGGAGGGAGAGGTCAAAAAAGGTTGCTTTGTCATGGAAAGGTAGAACGCCCCGGGCTGAGTCCACTGCCATCATCCCCCTTACAGACTTTGTGACATTGAGCAATGCATTTTACGGTCCTTCTCAGCGACCTCCGCATCTGGACAAGGTGTCTGAAGGAACGACCTCATGGACTCCTTCAGCTCTGAAGTCTCAGATCCTAAGCCTGTATGGACTAGAACAAATTACTCCGTGTCATTCAAGTCACATGTTAGATAATGCTGCCATTGCTATAAACATAGCATTTTTTTCAATTTCATTGTATTCTGAAAGCCACTTTTTATGATTTCTGGATTTTCACTCTGAATTGAATATCACTATTTACTTACCAGCTAAGTTCAAGGATGCCTAACAATAATTAACTTATGTAATATTTTATTTCTCATTCTATAAAACTTAATTCTTTGCTTATTTTGCTATTTTTCTTTTCTCTATAGAGTTCATCTCAGAGCTGAGAACCTAAGCTACTGGCTGGCTGGCAGCTGGTGTGTGACGCCATTATTATATTCCAGTAACAGAGGTTTAATTTTCTCACTGGAATTACATCTAGCAAAGAGCCAGTGGAGATGCATACCTTAATTTAAGCACACTATCAGAATGCAAATAACAAGAACTGAGCAAAGGGTTTTTTTTTTTTTTTTTTTTTTTTCCTCTGATAAAGTGAGAGAATAGAGGTCCTGGCTCACACCAGGAGGGGACAAGAAAGCCCCAAAGGAATTGTTTTTTAAGAGGATATTTAAGAATCTGGGCATAAATAAATTAAATATTATCAGCCTAAGCATCTCCCTACCTGAGGCAGTAACTCATGAGATACCAAATTGTAAATTACACATACTTATCTGGCTCACATACCTGGATCACCAAAAAGAAAATGGACAGATCAAAGGTGCTGTTGAAGATTTAGGCAGCCTTTAGTCTTTCAAAATTTGAAAGCAATTTTGATTTGGGAGAAGCAGTAATTAGGCTGTGCTGTTCAGTATCTTCTCAAAAATAATAGGAAATTTCACTAATTTGAGAAATAAAGCTTGGATTAAAACCTCTGCTGGTCATAGGAAAGCTGCAGCACACCAGCCCCTCGGCCTTTGCCTATTTGCACCATCTCGGGGTGCACTTCACCACAGTGAACTGAGCAGTGGGAAGAGCTTTACAATCAGCTACGATTACAAAGTTGTGGACACCTTACTAAAGGTAAAACTGTCAAGCCAGACAAGCAACTTATGTTTGACAAAGTTGTTCAACAGTAACCAGCTGCTCTTGAGAGTAGAATATCTTGAACTAGAAATTTTAAAAGTTAAATTTTCATTAAATGCATGACTGTCATTGGAGAAATATCATAAAACATCTCTTTAATGTGAACACTACTTCATACAATGAAAAACTATTTACAATGTGTCGCTTCCAGGTTGGCTGCTCATACATCGTGTATGTCCCCAGCATGTCTCCAGCTGGGAGCTTCAGTCCGGTTGTGAGTTTCCTTGTACGTAATGGCTCCGTGGTCCTGGGGATTCAGGGAACTGTCCGCTTACATTCTCCTTAGTAATTATGGCTCAGCAGGCATGCCACCAAAATCATCTCTGACCTGGAGACTCTGGCAGTCACAATAAGTAAAAGTTGTAGACTAGGTTTTTCTCCAATAAATACTGATTTCACAATACACTCCATTTCCATCTTAAGAGATTGTTTTCAGTAAGGAAAATGTTTTTTCTCAATGGAACTAGAGTAACTAGTCTGTTATTTACATTGGAACTGAGTTATCATGTCTTTGTGTACAAATATAGCATATTTTGGTCAGGAATATAATTTCTTGTTAAAGAGTTTATTTGCCTTCACACGCAGGATTGCTACATACATTCACAGTTTTAATAGACTGTAATTAGCTATTCCAGTTGTGCTTTAAAATCCCCAATATTATTTTCATTAGTGAGTGCAAAGCAAATATCCCATTCGACTACAATTGGTCCTAGAGTTATAAACTCCATAGTGATTTCTACAAAGTTCCTTCATTCTCCAGTTTCATCGTTGGCTTTTTCAGGTATGACTTCCAGGCTCCGGCGTGGCTTCTGAATATCGGCATTTTCTGTGCCTGGCTTATTCAGCCCGCATGAAACAGCAGCATAATGGATTTGTTTCAGGTTCTCCAAAGTCTCATTCTTAGCGTATTTCAAAAGATCTGCTTGTCCCTGTTAAAAAACATGCATTTAAACATGTTAGACAGGACACGACTTAGTGTTACAGTTTCACAATATAGGTCTTCCACTGACATGGAAATATTTTGATTCCGCAAGAGGGAATACTGATTTCATATTGACACGGCATCCAAATAAGTCAATTTTAATTAAAGAAATGAGTTTGTTTTCCCACTTTTTCAAAACCATACTCCAAAAGCGTGCTGCCTTTTCAGACCTTTCCATTTATAAATCCGAACAGAGTTCTGTGCATGCAGACCATTCCTGTCTATACTGGTTAAAATTGTATCTTTCACTAACTGTTTGGCCAATCTTAGCTTTTTCCTTTCAAGATTTGTTAAAAAAAAAACAACTTCTTATTCTGAGATAAGTTTACATTCACAGAAGGATGCAACTACAGTACAGAGAGGTCTTTTGCACCCTGCCACAAATTTCTCCCAGGGCTTCCATCTTACATAACTCTAGCACAATGCTCAGACCAGGATGCGGACATACAGGTACAGTGTGTATACAGTTCCTAGTCACTTCATCCCATGTGTAGATTCATGTAGCCACCACTGCAATCCACACACAGGGCTAACCGATCACCACAGAGATCCCCCTGACACTACGACTGCAGTCACACGCGTCGCCATGCCTCCACCAGGCCTAGCGCGTGACACATGTTCTCTTCTTTTGAAGTGAGCTTTGGCAAACATGGGCACATAGCTGATGCTCTCTAAGTACTTGCTAAAGACAGAATGAAGGAGAGGATTCCTTGCTTTGGATAAACTTTCTTAGCCAAATTTTAATTTTTTGGGGGGTGTGACCATCAACTTGACATATATGCAGCCTAACATGTACGTACGTCAAAAAATGGCCGGATGGATGGAAGCAGTCACTGGGAATCTGGAGTCTGAGCTGTCGATGGGCCAATGCAGAGTCTGTTAGCCCCACACTTGTGGCCTTCCGGCCAGAGAGTTCTTTCCGGGGTTGGGCAGGGACTGTCTTGTGCGTCCCTGGGTGTCCAACAGCGCCGGGCCCACACCCACCAGAGGCGGGCAGTGCTCCTCAATGTGACAGCCGACCAGGCGCTGCCTAGCGTCTGCTTGGGGTGATCCCGCCCACAGATCAGCGGGTGGTTTTGCGGTCATGCGCGGAGACGGGGTGTGGGCCCCTCCACTGTGAATCCCAGCATTCCCACTTCTGCCTTTGTTGTTTTTCTTCCTGTATTTAATGTGCCTTCCACTAACAGTTCTTCCTACTTAGACTATTAGCTTTCCTTTCTTATTCTCCTTGCTCACTATTTTTTCCCCTTCTCTCAGGCTCTAAATTTATCCTGTTACTCTCTTTCTGACCCTCTATAGTCTGACTTTTGCTTTGCCATGCTTACACTGGCACCAACCCTTTTCTCCTCTCCTGTTCTTTTTTTTGTCTGAGTTGCTTCCGAGTGTGCATACCCACTTAAGTACTCCTGCTCAACAAAAGCTTGGGGAAGCCGCAGAGGACAACAGGTAAGGACTTACCTTGGCAGGCAGCTGGACTATAATCCTACCTCAGCCTTTGTGGGACCAAATCGCAATGCAATTTTAAGATCCTGTGAGGCCAGAATCTGCAGAAAGGCTGGCTGTTTATCACTTAAGTTCATGACTTTCCTGCTTTACAGAGACTATAATTAACTATAAATAGATGTTCCATCGCTTAGTTTAACTCAAGCTTCATTTTTATTCATTCTTACTAGTCACTGACTCACATGCTGACATTCTATAAGTAGTAAGGTCTTTGTACATAAATGTAACATTTGTGTCAGGAATATAATTTCTTGTTGAAGAGTTTATTTGCACTCACACATAGGGCTGCTGCATACATTTATGGTTAATAGATTGCACCTAAGTATTTCATCTGTGCTTTAAAATTCCAAATATTCTTTAAGTTTATTAACTTTTATATTTTTTAGAGTAGTTTAGGTTTACCATCTGACACATACTATTGCTCTGTTTACTGTCTGTCCCTCCTTTAAATGTGACCTCCACTAGGGCAAGGGTTTTCTGGCTTCAGATGATGCTGAACCCTCCCAGCCTAGAGCGGCACCACCAGGCACACAGAATGGGCTCAACAGCGGTTTGTTGAATTAATATAGAGTAAAATGTGGAAGTTGCCTCATTAATTTTCACAACTGCCTCCCAAACAATGTGTTTCACTTTGTCTCTGCATTTATATATATTACAAATAGGTGTTTTATGTTTACAGAAATGGAATCAAGCAAATGATATTATTCTTCAGTTTCCTTTTTTTTTTCACCAAAAATCATGTCTTGTCCATCTTTCTACATCGGCATATATAGATCTACCACAGGATGACAAGGATATTTAAAAACAAAAATCCCCAGATGGTATACAATAATTAATGTGGTAGTAACAGTGTTCTCTATCTGGCTGAATAGTATGTTGCCCAAATTCAGAGCCGGCCTTTGACGATTATCCACATGAAACACACAGGACCCTCACAGGCAAAAAACCTGAGCTTGGGGGTGCTTCCCAACTTTATCCACATCACTTTTGTTTTGTTCTATGAATCTGAAACTACATGTCTGACATGTCATGGAATTTTGGCATCTAGTGTAAGGAGCAGTTCTGAAAGGCAGTGGTGTTTGCTGTAGCAGTGTTCACATTTCATTGCTTCAAAAGACTTCAAAAGAGCTGCCACCCACTGACACAGGGTGTCTGGTTTGAAGACTGCTGTGAAGCTGGCCTTGTAAAGTTTTCAGTTGAGAAACTCAAGCCCTATTTGGTTTCACACATTCCACTTTGAATTTCTACTTGGTTTTCATCTTGAGAGGTTGCTAACAAACCTTAGGTCAAAATATTTAAAGTTCTTACTTAGACTCTGAACTTGATCTTCAGAAGGTGGAGCTAAGGGCGGGGCTGGCCCCCAGCAGCTCCTGCTGAGAGTCTGCCTGTGGCACGCCTGGGGCCCCATCAGAGGCTGAGAAGCCGGTGGCCAGGACAGGACTGATGGCAGATGCCAAGCGTGAGGGCCAGAGCCGCAGCCATACGCACCCCCTGGCTGACCACCAAACCTTCTGCCTGACCACAAAAGATGTCCTAGTCTTTAAATACATTAAAAATATTTTGAGGCACATCTGCTAGTGCTCCATGGTTTTTGACTCCATAATTAACAATCACAATTCATTGATTTAATTTCTAACTGGTGCTAAAACAGTGAATTCTATACTTCAGTCAATTCTTTCAAAGCTTTTTTGTGAATCTATTAGAAAAAATCAGAGTTGCCTTACTTTCAAGGTGAGTGGATCTAGTTGGCCACAAAGACCCCAACTTCTGCCAACACCCTGTGCAGTGGCTTTGTGGCTGAGGGCTAGAGAAAGTAAGGATGGCCACCTGTCATCCCCCAGGGGCCAAATTACATGCAGCAGGAGAGAAGAGATAGCAGAGGACACACACACCATTTGGGGAGTCTGGAGGAGCCACAAAAGTAGCTAAATAATTTCTGTTTAACACAAATAGGAATGTAAGTTGTCAGGGTCTGGTTTGACCTCACCATGTCACTGACTCACATGGGGCCCACCCGACTTTTGGGTTGTTCCTGGGCCCAAGTCCCCACCCCGCGAAGGTTCACCTGGGTGCCATGGACGAGCCTGCCTCCTTCTAGCTCCCACATGAGCACAGAGAGGAGCACAGCAGATTTAGGGACCTTCACTGACACCTTTTGCTTCCCTAAGAAACTGGCTGTGGAATAAAAGGAGGGGGCCAGACACCTGGACAGCATCCAGGCCCAGCAGGAGGCGGGAGCGCCCCCCGAGTGAGCCCAACACCAGCCCACATGCTGGCCCTGCCTCAGCAGGTTGGTGTGTGTGAGCGTGTCTTTGCTGTCACCTTGCAGGTCCCCACAGGCCTCAGGCGCCCTCAGCATCACCCTGCATGACAGCACCAGGTCTAGGGCTCCTCTGCACTATGTCTCACCAAAGCATCTTCTCCAACCAAAACTGAAGGCTGAAACTCACAAAACCCACACACAGTGCCATGACCCAGACAAACCCAGGTCGGTGGGAAGTCAGTTTCCTTACTGGGTATTTATCCAGAATATGAACAGTGTGTGGTCACAAATAGAGTGCCTGTTGATAAATATTCTGTGCCTAGTCACTGTTTGGGTGATGAGAGACTGACAGAAACTGAATGCATTTCAAGCCAGCACTTCGTAAGTATTCAGAATCACAGGCCAAATGTGCAAATCTCCTTTAAGAGCACGATGGAAATTTCCTAAGTTTTTACAATCACAATTCAAATTGGTACAGGAGGGCTGTGAACGTAACGACAGTTCTAAATTTGGAACTGCAGAGCCTACAGTATGTCACAGTTAGTATGTAGGCATGTATATCGGCAAAGCCTTCTGGGGACAATGCTTACAGTTTAGCCAATGACTACTGTGTGCCAGGCTCTGTATTAAGGCCTTTGCAAAGCTTACTTCATGGGAGTCTCTCAATTCTGCAAGAGAGGTGCAACTACAGGAATAGTTTCACAGATGAATTAACTGAATTTAGAGACTAAAGGGCCCCCTCAGGGCAGAGTCTACGCAGCAAATTACACTTAGACACACACAACTTTCTGTGTATGTCTTGTTTCCTTTTTGTAAAAACTAAGCCATGGGGGCCAAACTATGAGTTAGGACCCACTTGTTACATGAAACCTTGAAGCAAGCCAAGGGGGAGCATCCGCCGCGTTTTTAACATACTCAGCGTATCACCAATTGGGCAGACAACACATCTCCCTGTGATTAATTAAGTACAGGAACAGAAACAGACATTTCCAATTGGCATTTGTTGAATGAGGAATGGAGTGAACAACGAGTGGGCTGTGGGCATCTTGGCTTCTGATTCTAAACTGCAACCCGTGTTCTACTAGCCCTCTGAGTGGTTTTGTGTGGCTAAGACTGTAGCCCATCAATCAGAGTTAAAGAAACCCATCTAACTTGGACAGGCCTTCTTCCCACTGAAGTCT